AGATAGATAGATAGATAGATAGATAGATAGATAGATAGATAGATAGATATAGATGGATAGATAATAGGCAGATGGATAGATAGATATAGGTAGGTAAGTAGATATGAATGGATAGATATGGATATAGACACACAGAGACAGACAAGCAGATTATAGAAAAATAATAAGAGCTAGAATGAGGGGATGGATGGATGGATGGAAGATGACAAATGATAAGAGAAATAACAGAAGTAGGTAGATATAAATAGATCACAGATACATAATATATAGGCAGACAAGACAGATAAATATAAGATGACAAATGATAGAAACATGGATGGATGATAAATGATCATAGAGATGCGCAGACAGACAGACCCAGGTAGATGATAGAGAAATGAGAGAAAGAGAGAGAAATTCCTCTTCAGGGGGCCGGAGACCCTCAAAGGCCCCCAAGACCTCTTCCTGTCCCCCCCCCCCAGGACCTTCCCGGCTGGGGATGATGGGCTCGGCAGTCCCCGAGGGCCTCACCTGAGGGCGCTCACCACCCGCCGGTACTGCTCGAAGCGCTCGAGGATGACCAGCAGCTCGGCCGGGTCGACGGGCGGTGGCACCTTGATCCGGTCCGCCTTGGACTTGGCCGGAGGGTCGAAGCGGGTCTTGCGGCCTCGCGCGGGGACCAGAGTCGGGGTGCCGCGGCCCAGCAGGCCGGGAAGGCCCCTCAGCCCCGCCGCCAGCATCGGACGGGAAGTGCAGGTGCAGGACCGGATCCGGAAGTGGCTCCAGGGACGCCGGGCAATGCAGTCCCCCCGCGACCGCAAGAGAGCGAGCAGAGGCTCCGCCCACTGCCCTTTCCGCATCCTCAGACCGAAAGTTACGCCAGGAATGATGGGACATGCGGGAAACTTCCGGTTGAGCGGCGGAAGAGCGTCACATCCCGGAAGTATCCTGCCTCCGTTTGGGAGTGGAGTGCCTTTCTAGGATTTCTGGCCAAAACACGTGGTCCTCGACCTACGACCACAACTGAGCCCTACATTTCTGTTGCTAAGCGAGGCCTTAAGTCCATTTTGCCCTGTTTTACGACATTTCCCGCCATTGTTGTTAAGGGAATCGCTGACAGTTGTTACACGAGTGACGCGGTCGTTAAGTGAATCTGGCTTTCCCATTGACTGCGCTTGTCAGACGGTCACAAAAGGGGACCATATGCAAAAAAAACCCTCCCCCACTGCAACTGTCATAAATATGAGTCAGTTTGCCCAATTTTGATTGCTTGACCACGGGGATGCTGCAAAGGTTGCCAGGGTGAAAAACAGTCATGACTCATGGGCGACTTCTTTTCAGTGCCATTGAAGGAAAAGTTTAAGAAGTTACTATTTTATAACACTGTTTTATGTATTGTTAAGTTAGAATATTCCTTTTGTTACATATTAAAACAAAGGTTTTCCAACTTGGCAAGTTTAAGACTTGTGGACTTCAACTCCCAGGATTCCTGAGCTAACATAACTGGAGGAGGAATTCTGGGAGTTGAAGTCCACAAGTCTTAAAGCTGTCAAGTTTGAAGACCCCTGACCTAGATATTTATATAATCTGTCACCCATCCTCTGTCTATCATCCAGCTAGCCAGCCAGCCATACATTCTCTGTCTCTCTATTTATCTCTCTATCTAGTTTTGTTTCTAGATCTTTATATAATCTATATCATCCACCCCTTTCTATCCATCCATCCATCCATCCTATCAATCATCTATTCCTGCCTCTCCCTTCCTTTCATCCAGCTAGCCCAAGGATCTTCAAACTTGGCAAGTTGAAGACTTGTGAACTTCAACTCCCAGATTTCCAGAGCTAACATGACTGGAGGAGGAATTCTAGGAGTTGAAGTCCACAAGTCTTAAAGCTGTCAAGTTTGGAGACCCCTGGGTTAAAACCTCCAGGCTAAAACCCCAAAGTGTATTCACTTAAAAGTACATGGTGACTTGTTACAATTTTCTTGGAAAACAGGAACATCCGCCCAGGGTCAGGCAACAAGTAAATAAGATAGGGACATCTGCCCAAGGCGAAGCCCAGAAGCAAAATAAGATAAGACATCTGTTGCATAGAAGACAATGTCATGTCCACCCTTTAGCTCAGAGATCCCCAAACTTGGTAACTTTAAGACTTGTGGACTTCAACTCCCAGAATTCTCCAGCTATGCTTGCCTTTCCCATAATCAGCATGTATATTTGACAGTTGAACTGTGCCGGGGCCAGATTCACTTAAGAACAGCATGAATCACTGAACAGTTGCAATGGTTCACTTAACAGTTGCAATGATTTTCTTAACAACTGTGACAGAAAAGGTAAAATGAACAATTTTACCACAATTTGCTTAGCAACTGCCTCCCTTAGCAATGGAAATTTAGTTGTGCTCATTAATCAAGGACTACCCATATTCAAAAGGTAGGTCTTGCAAACCTAAGGTATGGAACACTTTCTTCTTGCTATCAAATAAGCAACTAATTTAGCTTTTGAAATATTTGTTACCATATTCCATCCAACACTGGCTACGTGTGAATGACTAAAATTGCCCTAATTTTTCATTGTTCTGAATTTTTAACACATGTTTCTGCTATGCTTGGGTTATTTGGAGAAAACCCAGCCAGTAAAAAAAAATTAATACATTTCGTTTTCTCACTCCTTACCAGCCTAATTGGCCCTTAAACTTACATCTATAAATTCATTCATTCATTCATTCATTCATTCATTCATTCATTCTTTCAACCCTCAAGGACTCTATTGATTATTGGAAAGCTAAAAGAACACACACTGTGGATTTTAAATGGCTGTTCAACTTTTATTTTGCATAACATGTATGAATTGCAGGCTTCTAGCAAACATTTCGGAACAATCTGTTGCATCAGTTTGGTATTATCTACCAGTTCATAATCTAAAATGGTTTTTTCAGGGTTCTTCCTCGAGTCTTCTCATTCTTGATCACATATGGAATCAACCATGCAACCCTCTGGAAAAGCAAAAAGAAAAGTCATGGTAAATAAGCTAATACCAACAAGAGAGTTCAAGTGGAAATATTTAATTTACTATCAGTTGTATCTTTGGCACCTGTAAAACTACAATTTAGATTAGATATTAGACCACAGTGAAGATAACTTTCCCTGCCCAATAGGTAAACCAGAGAAGGAAATCTATTTCACAGAACACAAACTCTTTGCAAATTTGATGCAGAACTTTCTCCCACTTCTTATACTCTAGTAAACCAGGGAGGGAGTTTCTCCTAAATGTCTGATTATCTCATTCTAGACATGAAAATAATGTTTCTCCTGTGGAAAGGGAACTTCATGAGGACAGTGGTGACACCCAAGCAGGAAAAACGCAAAGGCAACATCAGGCCAGCCATAAAACAAACTTGCATAGGAAAAGAGATTTAATAAAAGGTATTGAAAGAAGCCCCCTAGACAAAAGCCAAGTAATTAAGAAAGCTAGGGAAACAAGAAAAAGAAATCCCTTACAAACAACAGGTCATGCCAAATCAGCAAAACAAATAGACACAAAATATATTGCAAAGGAGACAGACAGGAGATTGCCACAAAACAAATATAAGAAAACATTAGGACGAAACTGATAATCCAATCAAACCACCCCGTGGAGTTTACCCTCCGGCGGAAGTGAAGACAACCCCCGACAGGATTTAAAACATTAAGAAATACAAACACAAGCACACACACACACACAAAAGGAGAAAAGGTATAAAAATCAGGGGTTTATTATACAAAGATGGCTAGCCCCAGGAACGCAGACTTCTTGCTATCTCTTAGCTTCCTGAAAAATAAAAAGACCCAGCTTCCAAGCAGTTGTCTGTGTCCTTGCACCGGAGCTCTCCCAGCAGGAAAATCGAGCCCTCAGAAGAAAGGCATTTTCCAGCCTTTCAACACTCCCCTTCTGCTTATCTGTATCGAGGTCATCTTCCTTGCAAGGTTAGATATTAGGCCAGAGCAGAGATAGGTTAGATATTGAATCAAGGAGACCTAATAAAGGTAAAACCAAATATCTCTTCCCTTTCTCTTCGCCCAAGAGCTCCAAGGCAAGTGATCCTGTCCACCATTGAACCATCTTTCCCAGCAACTTCCATGATTCCAGTGTCTTTTTCCCCTACTTGGAACTGAACCCCGAAGGATATTTCTTCCAATACTACATACATACATACATACACACACACACACACACATACAC